CTGAAGTAATTTTTTAAAATAAGCCATAACCTATGTCTACACACCAAAATGATGGGGTGATGGTGGCAAGTGATACCATACCTATGTGAATTTAATTAATTTAGCATGGGTAACAATTACAATAATAATATCCTGGCATGGGCTTCAGCTTGCACTAGCAACCAAGTTCCTTGTGTCATAATAGCAAAAGTAAGATAGCACATGTTATGTCATACTTTTTTTGCTGTGTAGATGAGTCACTTAGACCATGCAATATTGAGTGAATGGATACCTAAATATAGATAAAAATCTGTGCCTCTCTGCCTCCATTCCTTATGTGTATAATGCAGACAGTATTCCCCTTGTCTAACCAGTTTGGATTTTAGCTCTTCAAGGCACAAATATCAGTTTATATTTTGTTCTGCACATCCCTGGTTAGGGCTGCCATGCAAAACCAATCCAAACCTGTCTTCACACATTTATAGAAAAAAGGAGGCAGTTGTTTGTTCTGAAATGTGAATTCAGATTCACAAATTATTCTGTTTTGCAGATTTAATGGTCATATGTCCGAGATTTTTACACTGGCTGTCTGTCACTCACTAGGGAAGTTCTAAGGAGGCTCAAAGAAGTTTATCATTGGGATAAGGGAAGTCACTAAATGTTGACTGAGTAGCAATGTTCCTTCAAGCCTGCGGTTCAGTCTGCAGGCTAAAGAATATAGTCTCCTGTTAGATTAGAAATACAGTTGATCTTTTTCTTCACCATGACACAAAGGAAACCTGTTTGTACAGACTGTTGCTTGGTTTGCTCATTACATGAATATTTAGACTAATCCTGTGGTTGCAAACTTGACATTTTTTTGTAGCTGTCCTCTGTTCTTATCCTATCTCCTAGTGCCTTAAATATTTCCAAATGCCTATCACTAGGCTATCTAAGCCCTGAACAAGATTAATCATTGTTGAAATCATATAATTAATTTAGGATGAACTTTGAAGTCCATACTCAGTTCTCTATTGGCCAGTACTACCACTGACTCTTACTTGTAATTCATGTCACTTTAATTGGCTCCTTCATATTTTCTCTGTTTTACATAAGGTTTACTTTATTATACATTCATCAGTGCTTTACTTTGGTTTTGCAGCCTTGGTGAGCACTTCATACATACATCTATTAATAATAATACCTGTAATAGCAGTGTATCCCTAATCAGCACATATATCTTATCCATCTGGCTGCTTTCTCTCAGATTAGGATACTATTTTATAAAAAGCCCAGGCACATTTTGAAGTGTGGGTGTCAACAACATAAGAAGGATCCAAAGAGGCTTTGAAAGGACCTGGGAAATTTAAACACTTAAAAGAGTAGTTGATGGCAAGAAAATCTTAACATGTATTGAAGAAGGAAACTAAAATGCATTGTGTAAACAGCTGATTTGTTAAGCATCAGCCATCACTGTTTCCAAAGACATTTTTACAAACATCAGTCCTCTGATATAGCTGATACCAAGCACTCAGTGGCATTTAGAAATCTATTTTTTTCTTGAAATTGGAACTAGGGTATTGTAAAACCATTAGATCTAGCTGAAGTTTGCCTCCAGTATCTTTAATTTAGATGGTGTATAAATATTTTTGTTCTGTTAAGTTTCTAAATGATTGGTTAAAGGAATCTTCCCTGAATGATGCACCATAGTGATGACTGTCCCACTACATTTACAATGTATGTAGGCAAGATGAAAATGAAGCCTATTAAAAATCCTTCAGGTTTCAGCAAAAGTGGCCATTTCCATGCTTCACTGGTATGCTATAAATCCCCCTCTGTGCCCTATCTACAAAGAAAGTGAGTCTATAATAGTTCTCAGCTGAACAACTTAACTTCTTAGCTCAAGCTATACAGACTCAGGCTTTTCACTTTTCCTGCCACTTAACTGGGCCCAAAACGTTTCATTCAAAACATTTCAGGTTTGATGAACATATGCCAAAGCCAAGGCACAGTTCCTGTGGGATCCTGCCTGGATACCATGCAGACTGTTTCACAGCTGGAAACCTGGTGTTTCCAAGGTCAATAGTGACATGGCACACACAGCAACAGGAATGCTCCACACCCAGGAACCCAGACTGTGATCTGATGCTTCCAGGGTTCCCAGCTCTAACACAGACTTGCCAGGGGAACTCTGCCAAGGACAAAGATACCAGGAGTTCCAGCTCCTAGGCAGTCAGTTCTGCCTGGGCCTCCAGCAAAGCCTGAAATCCCTGGGAGTTCCAATTTTAACCAGAGCACTGGACATGGAGATCCCAGGTAGCTGGCCTTTTTGTCAGATTCACTGAACAGCTGGAAGGTCCAGAGAGCATATTTCATTACGGAACCTCCCATGACATTTTCTTGGAGTGCCTGATTCATGCAAAATATGAGAACAGGTTGTTTCTCTGTAACTTGGACTCAAACCAAATTTAAAAAAATGTAATTTTCTGCAAATTAGAGGCCCTGTTTTTTTAGCCCTTTCTACTACACAGGTCCCTATGCCAATGATTAGTGTCTGCCAAGATGGCAACTGTTATATCAGTAGGAGCCCACTAACGATTAGAGCTACTGTGAGTCTCAGATACTCAGGATGAGTTTCCCCAGTCTAGGGGAAGAATGTAACCCACTGGTGAGCAGATTACTTCTATTTCCATTGCTTGTTTAATAGTTTTAAACACCAGAAAATATCTCGTCAACTGTTGAGATAACACTTAAGTCTCCTTAAATGAACAACTCTCCACAAGCAGCTGAACTGGAAGGTGTGCTGCACCTCTTTCTGGACCTATTGCTGTGAATATATATGTAAGTTCTGGTCTTTAAAGCTGTAGTGGGTTGGGGAAGGGAAAGGTTCCCAGGAGAAGCTTGGCAGTGAAGCAGATACAGCATTTTGGATACGACCATTTTCCTCACCTGAAGAAGCAACTTCATCAAATGCCTCAGATTAGAAATTAGACAGAGATTCCTAACAGTTCAGGTAATTAACTAAACCAGGAAAAGCCTTTCATCACTTGAAGTCTTTAAATGAAAGCTGGACATCTCTCTAAAAGGGTTATACCAATTCAGCCAGAATCTATGGCTTTGCTGCAAGAATCGCTGAGTACAACTCTCTCATGTCCTATGTGGGTCAGCCTAGAATGTCCTGCTAGTCCCCCCACACCTTAAATCCTATAACTCTCTATGACTATTAGAAGAAAGAGGTGGCTAGCATGACATGGTGTCAGATATTGTCACATTTTCAATCATCCCAAATGAGAGTTCCCCAAACAGTAAATTCAGCCTTCTGGGACTTTCAGTTTGATAGGGCTGTGGACCAACTGATGCAAGAGGAAATGGACTTGAAAATATTAATTACTTGTCTTGGCTGAACAAGATGAAAATAATTATGACTCCATGGGTGCAGCTACACAAGATACTACTGTGCAGTGGTTACTGCACATTTATTTAGTACTTGCTTATACAAGTGCTTACACAAGTACTAAATTTATTTATTTAGTACTTGTGTAAGTACTTGTATAAGCAAGTACTAAATAAATATGCAATAACTGGAGTTAATGAGCAGTAGTGCTGGTGAACATCTTTTAAGTGATGCTACTGCGCAGCAGCCTAATAATACTGTGCAATAGCGTATTAGCATTGCCAGTGCTGTGACATGCTCTTGTACAGTACTATTTAGCTACTTCACAGTCAGCATCTTGTGTAGACATGCCGTACTACTGAAAGATCTCTGAGCATTTCATTCCATTCAGCAGTCTAGTACAAGAATATCCATGCCTTCACTGAATGGAGGAGAGATGCAGAGAAAGTATGAGAGCTTTTAAGAGCCCTGTATGAACAAGGACTGTATTATGACTTTGGTCTCATTTAAAAAAACAACAACAACAAAGCAGGAGATCATTTAAATATCTGGGATTATTAAACAAGGAACTTTCTGAACAGTTGCAGTAAGTATTAGAGCTAACAGCAGAACAAGGGCTCTGCAATCTGAGTCACAAGGTAAGGAAACAACAAAAACATAGTGCAGGAAATAGCAAGGGAAAAAAATCCTTTGCAGGAAAAAGGGAAAGGCATTTAAAAGTCCTGAGGTGTCTGGACTAAAAAAAAGCAAGGGGGGAATTCAGGACAGGAGAGGTTTGTCTAGCAATCAGATTTGGGCATAGGAAATGTAAAAAGAAAAAAAACAAAGGAGCATTTCTGTTGAAGCAATGAATCAGGGAGGTGGTCCAACAAAGGGTGGGTAATATGTTTGGACACAGGACCTGGGAAGTGAGTTTAATTTCTGAGCAGACCCAGACTTGTAACTGTGAAATCTGCAATCAAGACCAAAGGTCTTCTGGAGCCTACATACCACAATCATCTGCCTTTGACTCCCCAGCCTGATTGGCCTGGTGCCCACTTACAGCTTGGTCAACTGAGGCTAGCTTTTTCTGTGAGCTTGAAGCAGGACTCAAACTCCCACTGCTGGATCAGCAGAGACATCACCTCACAATCCTGGGAGTTATGCTGCTGTTATCAAATGTAAGGTTGAATTGGGATGCAAATCTGATTTGCAGATACTTGTAATGGGACAAGTCTTCATCCAAAATGGGAGCAGCCCAGGAGCAGGAGTCACAAGCACACGACAGCTTAACAGCCCACTGCCTGGCTCAAGTCTACGCCTGTTATACGTAAAGAGGTAAGGAGCACTATATATGTATGACACCTGCACACCTGACTCTGTGGCACGACACCTGCTACTGAGGAAACCACCACAAATGACTGATTTCATGTCTTGCTAAGCAGCCATCAGTCAGCCAACACCACAACAGAGCCAGTCCGTTTCAAACCCTTCCTGTTAACACGACAATGAACCTCAATAAAGTAGCATTCATAATTGTATTAACAGATTTGGGACCTGCTGTAAAGTCACTTACACCCTGCCTAAAAATTCTCGTGGTCTCCCCAGGAAAGAGGGCGGCGCCTTTGTCACAAAGCAAACATCCTTCCTTCTGGCATCCGGTGATCACCTCATGGGAGCACGCGTGGGAAGCACACCTCTTACAAAGCTGGCGAATGTGTCATTATTGTGACCATAATCCTTACCAAGGGCGTCACTCTCTCACATGTCTAGGCGCACTCCTTGGGGAGTGGGGCCTTGCTACCGGGGCGCCCCCAGAACGCACAGAAGCAGCGGACAGAGTCGGCAGCTCGCGCGCCGCTTCCCGACGGGCGCCCGTCTGACAGGGCGGTGCACCCAACACGGCCGGTGCGGACCACCCCGATGGCGCCTGCCTTTCGCTCCCACGTTCCCCAGCGCCAAGCAGTGACCGCACGTCTGTCCCGAGCAGGAGTCGGGCAACGGTGCACGGGGCCAGGCGGAGGCTGCAGAAGCGGAAGCACGGGCTCTTCTGAGCCCAGCAAGGCCCCGGCGGCGCTGGGTGGGGGCGGAGCCGGGCTCGGCCCGGCTCCGCCCCAGCGAACCACAGCTCCCGGCAGGCGGCGGCGCCGAGTAGCTATGACATCATGGATGACAGGGGGCTGACATCACAGGGGAGGATTTCCCCCCTCCCCTGTCCCGGGCACTCGGGCGGCGCCCGCCTTGCTGTGACCCGGGAGGCGCCGCGCAGGTCGGTGGG